AGTGGCATTGCTCTCCTTATCTAACTCTTGGCAAAACAAAACAAAACATAGAAATTAAATTAATTTAATTAAAAGTTGACATTTTGGCAAAACATGATTGATTTTCATTGGACACTGACAACACAATCTGTGTTGAGGTGTTGTCAGGAGGCATTCTTTAACTTTAAAGGGTCACCATCTAAAATAAGCCAGGAACCACTAGAGAATAAGAATAATACAGTATAATGGATTCTTCACACTTTGTTCTTTTCTTCCACAAAGCTTCTGAGGGAATAATTTTCTTATTATTCATTCTGATTTTACAGCTCCAAACAGAGCAGCGGTGATAGTCGGCACCATTGTGGGTTCTCTGCTCCTCATCTTCATCCTGTTGGTCTTCCTCGGGCTTCTCTACTGGAAGTTGAGCAACAGACATCACTATGAGAAGGAGTTTTCCAATGACATCAGGTACCGTACAGCTCTGCAGCTCCAACAGAGACAGCAGGGCACAGTTAAAGGTGTTGGCAGCTTGGCGGTTAGACAAAGTAAATGAGCTGCAGCAGGAAGGGAACAAATCCACACACAACCTGGCAAGTTTCTCCTTGTGTTAATTGATCGCCAAAAAAGTCCCATGAATAAGAAACTTCTGCCTCTGTTGGTGTTGTGTTTAGTCAGCTTGTGAGTTTATGTTAAACGATGTGCACGTTTGGATGAAACATTATTGTGTGCACTTTGTGCGACATTTTATGTCTGCATAAATTAATTAAAATAAATTAATTGGCTTCACAAGCGAGAACAGTCGTCAACCACCGAACTTTAAAAGACAGAGAGGCAATTATAATATGTGCATTACAAGATATACAACCACACAGATCAAAGAAATTAGGAATAAGAAAAGAAACATCCTAGTCTTTATTTAAATTCAGGAAAGAAACTAATACAGATGGAGAAAAGTAGTTTTATTTAAGACTCTTTGAGTCTAGTCCTCTCAGGCAGGGTACAATCTCAAGCCTCACATTGTGCAGGACAATTTGATGAAATCCTTTTGAAATCCAAGGTTATGTGTTGCTTTAAGTGCAGTTTTATTCAGGTACATTGTTGCAAATATAACATTATAAATAACATCAGTTCCGCTGTATGCTTCATCTGAAAGCCTGAGTTTGGATTCATTAAAAGTTTCCAACTCTTTGTTCTTGTTGAATCTCCGTCTTTCTTTACAGTTGGAAACTTGAGAGGCTCTATAGTGTCGACAAACATTCTTGGTTGTTCTTGTCTTCTACTTGCAGCATTAATATACAGTTGATAAAATCTTGAAAAAACACTGGAAAGTGACATTTCTGAATAATGGTAACAAAATCCACCAGCATCTCTAATGCTCACAAATCAATGTGTTATATCTCATTTGTTTAATCCACACAAATAAAACGCAGTAAACAACACTTTGCCGCTTTATGGGGCTTATGTGCCGAACTAATTTTTGGCTCTGAGAAGTTGCCAGGCAACCAGACGAGGCTCCAGAAGTTGCTGTGCATGCAATAAAATAGTGTGACACATAAACCTCAGTAAAACAGCAAATTTTTGTTTTTACAGTTTTACAAAATTAACAAATGAGATGTAACACCTTGATCAGTGAACTTCAGGTGCTATTACGCATTTTGTAACCCTAGACAAAGCTAGATGTTTCCCTGTTTTCAGTCTTTGTGCTAAGCTAAGAGCTAACCTACTGTTGGCTGTGGCCTTATATTTGAAGGAAAGAGGGGTATCAATGTTGTCATCTGACTCTCCCCCAGAAAGTAAATAAGTAATATATATATACAGTAGCTATTGCTTTGAGTGGTCCATTGGTGTTGTTATATCAAGGGACCACTCAGAATGTTGTGGGTCGAATTTGGATTTGGCTGTTGAAGTATGTATGAAGATTTGACTATTCGTTTGACATCAGATTTTCACACAGAGCAATTAAAGTGTGCATCCTGCTCATTGTTCAATTATGAAATCTCAGCGCACCACAGAGCAACATCCTGCACACTTGGAAAATATTTCATCATGTCTTGAAGGTCTTTAGGTGAATGTGAAGGTTTTGCCTTACCACCATGCATATACTAGTTAGCTCTTTATATGGCAGGAGAAAAATCTAGCACAGCCACGTAAGTCTGTTGTTTTCAAGATTTATTTTTTTAATTTTGCATTTAAGGTAGGCAGCACAGTTTGCACTCTGCCCTGTCTATACAGGCTTCTATATAAAAATAAACAATATAAAAAATGCATATTAAAGTCAATCAAAGCAAACTCTAAATGTAACATACCCCTTAGAACTAAATGGTAGAGATCAATAGATCTCATGCCTAGAGGTACTGCCATATGTTGTTGTTGTTTGTTTGTTGTTTCTTTCTCTTTCTTTCTTCTTCTATTTGTTTATGATTTGAATTTCTGTGAAAACCTCTTAAAGTAAAAAGTATATTAAAATATCTAAGGTTTATGTTGGGTTTAAACCTAAGGATGCTGGCAAACAGCAATTTCAAGAGCTCAGGTGGTTGCCCTTGAAGGATGGAGCCATACAACTACCACTCAGCACAGTACGTAATATTTATAGCAACAGAGCTTTAAGTAGGTCTATCAGGTTTCACCACCTTCAGTTCAACGAGTAGCTAAAAGGTCAAGATGCTGACTATGAAGCACAACGTTACAGGTTCCAGTCCCATCAGTGATTGTTGTCGCATCTCTCACTTCCTTTTATTTATAATTCTTAGAATGAACGTTTTTGATATTTGTCTTTGATATTGGTGTACTACAGTGTGCAATATTTAGTGGCCTCTTACTGTGTGGTTGCAGATTGCAGCTAACTTAATACCCCTCGCCTCACCCTCCTCTTTCAAGCATGTAGGAGAAACTACGATGTCAAATTGCAATATGCTCTCAGTATTCAGTATGGTGGACATCTAATTTGGGGACAAAACTCCACAGTCCACAGGTGCAAGTATGTCATTTGCAAATTTTCACTTGTAAATTCTTGAGCCGATATTATTTTAGTCGAGATCTCTCTCCTCCACTGGAACAGTGTAACTAGTTGAAAAAGGCAGCATGGGACAGTGTGTCTCAACAGAAGGTCCTAGTTCAGACTCTTTCAGGTCCTGTGTCTGTGCGCAGGATGCAGAATGCAACGCTGCTCCAGGGCCGATGTCTGCAGCTGACCTCTCGTCCTGACATCTCTGAGAGGACTTTTCCTTTAGCAAATAAACAGTGTGTTCCAAAAATTTTTTTGGAGTTATGCTTCATATGCAGTTGAAAACAACCCACATGTTTTCAAAGTAGATGTGAAATGGGAGCGGTGTCAGTGTGGGAGGACAGTGTTATGTACTGGAGACAGAGAAGCACTTCAAGCCACAATCCTGATACGGGTTCTCTCCATATCTGCGACATACAGGAGTTCAACTCTCCTAACAGGACTGTGGCATCTTAGTGAGAAGTTCACAGGCGAGAGATGGGAATCATTTGAGCCATGATATCAATAGTTCCCCTCACATCTGTCAGATAGAATGCTCAAGATGAAAAGTAAACACTGCTGCTTGAGAGGGGGAAAAAAAGTTCAGAGATGAGTCATGCAGAGTATCAAATCCGTTCAAGTAGCTACTGTATCATCTGCGTCTAAAGAAATACATTAATACAGTGAGAAAAATAAGACTCCAACTCTGCATCAGGACCAATATGTCAGAGCTGTAAGTGCACATTTGAACATGAAATACACCAACAATAAATATATATACATATAAATGTACACTGAAAAGCAGACTGATAAATCTATACATCAACAGCTTTTATCTTAGTGTAAAGGGCAATCCACACAAGCAGTATTCTTCTAAACCTTTTTTTTTTTGTCAGTCACATCCAAACACTTCTATTAATAGAAATGTCACAATCCACATCAACTCTGACCACCTGCTGACTGGACAGATGGTTCTGAGCACAGTGACACCATAAGGGGTTGAAATCGGTGTGGTGTCTAACATTTGGTGTAAATTTGGGGTTAAACGGTGGTGAATTATATTAAACCCACAATAACAGATTTCGGGCCACTTTGGGGCAGCAGGAACAAGCAGCAAACTGTTTGATGTGTGGGGCAGGTAGCGTACAACAGGTTTATCAGAGCTTTTCCAACAGTGCTCCAACAGTTTGAACAGTGCTGTATCTTGAAACACCACTAATGAGACACAACCAAAACAGTAAATTTGCAGACCATAAAACCAAAACAGAAAGAAGAAAGATGCCATAAAGCTTCATAGGGGAGATATGGAAACCCGTGATGATTAGTGTATCTGCGGGATTGTCATTATGAGCTTCATTTTCCACATTAATCATTTGATTCATTGTTACTATAAAAATTGTAGTTATCTAGCAGCTTTATTATTATTTAAAAATATGCAGTATATAGCATGTCTAAATAAGTAATCAATATACTTCATTAAAGTAGCTTAAAAGGAGTAATTATCTAAGTACAAACCACTGGCATTCTGGAAGGATTTTACAAATATAAAATAAATATAGTTCTTTCCAAAACATTTATTAGTAACAGCAAACTTCCTTTTAATATGCAAATTAACAAATCATATATATATAAATACCATAAAAGTCTTTAAGAAGCCACAGCCATAAAAAAAAAATGTAGTTAATTTTCTTTGCATGATAATTGTTTTAGGAACAATTTTATGTAAAAGGTTAAGAGAAATAACTTCACTGGCAGAACACAACAACCCCGAAAATGCCCTAAAACTAGATAGACATAATTGGTGTTTAATTTACTTTACTGTATTTGTTTTGTACACATTCTTCTTCACAGCAGACACACACCATACACCCAAGAATCACAGCCTCCATGCATGCTATTTCCCACTTCACTTTAACAAAAGCAAATGTATTCCCTTTACCAGTGTCTTTGGCCTCCACAGGAGCAGAAAATGCCAAAGTCGATCAGTTGTGCGGGTGTTCTCTTTGACAGAGGAGCAGATCCTAGCTGGTACTGCAAAGTTACATAAATGCAGAATGCAAAGTAGCTTCTAAGCTTATGTGTTGGCAGCGGTGTTGACGAGGGAAGATTCTATTGTATGCTTCTTGTCAGTTTGCTGGTTGAAATCAACACCAGAGTGAATTTTATCCTTCAGTAGTAGAGAAGAAGGTAAAGCAGGATTTCAGGAGAGTAGGCGCTCTTGAATGCAAAGAGTCTCCAAACAGGCAACAACAAAGATTTATGCCTTTCACCTACAGGGCATTAGTAAATAGATGTACATCCAATAGTACATAAATATGGATACCAAAGCACAAAAGGCAATCTGGTTCTTAGTTATCAAACCCCCATATAACAGCAGGTTCAGTGTACAGTGGACTTAAGTAGTGCTAAAATTATGAATTAATTTATCAGTTAATTGTTACACGGAAATTAACATGTTTAATAATCGATTCATCTTTCAAGTTGTGTATCAAGACAAAAATGCAATCTTGTGAGTGTTTGCTGAATTTCCCTCTTTTATGATTGATGATTGTAAATGGAACACATTTAAGCTGCATTTCCAGTCACCTTGGAAATATCACTATTATGTGTCATTTTACTGACTAAACAATGATTTGATTGTAAAAATGATGATTCCCTTATAGGTAGTATGTTGTCTAGTTACCTGAACGCCTGTATCTCTGTTTTTTTTTTTAAGGCCACAATGGAAATAAGTCATTCACTTGAATGAGTTATCCGTGACATTTTGTAGAAGTATGTAGGATTTAGTGGCCTCTTACAGTGTGGTGGCAGATTGCAGCCAACTGAATACCCCTCGCATCACCCTTCCCTTCCAAGCATTTAGTAGAAACTACAATGGCTGCAAAAAAATGCAAAAGCCTTGTCTAAAGCCAGTGTTTAACTGAGCCCATTTCATTGAAAGTGCAGCTCTACCCCAAAATTAGTTTTACAGCTCTGATTTCATATTGTGAAAGCTCAGTCCATAAACTCAGCCACTACAGTTGCCTTCTAAGCCATTTTACCATGTAATGAATCAAGCACCAGTTCTCTAAATTTTAATTTAAATGACTGAACTGAAACGATTCCATTGGTAGTAAAATCCTTTAACGCTGTTGTTCTGTTCTGCTCCAATATCAAACAGGGAGGACGCTCCACCTCCTGAGAGCCGCCCGGTCAGTCGCCATACGAGCCGGAGCGGCAGTCAGCACCCACAGGTCACTTACTGCCAGGTGGACGGGACTGAGATGAGCTCTTTTAATGAAGGACACACACACACTCCCTCCAGCAACAGCCACAGACACACACCGGTCAAACACACACCAGTCGAATATGACAGCAAGTACGGATACGCAGTCTGAAGATTAACAACAAAGCTGAACTGAGAAGGATTTAGCTCTAATTGTAATGTTTTAATAGAAGATTCAACACAGTTTGGACACTTGAAACTGAAAACTGAATCAAAGCTGTGCAGTGTGATCATTTTATAACATTGTTCATGTTATTTACTTTAATATAATCTCAGTCACTTAAGAAGTTTTCTTCCTTTTATTACTGTAGCGCTATTATCTTTCAGACTCTGTAAAGAAAAGTATATATATAAAAAATTCATGAAAACAAAGACTTTATTCTTTGTTCATTTTTTTTATCTACACACTGAAATAAACTGTTTTGGGGATTTTTAAGTGGAAGTTTGGATGTTATTGTCATTTGCAATGGAACACAGAAAATTCAAAATACAACTCAAAATTCAAAAGGATTCAGTCTCAAATTTAAACCAAAAGAGAAATATTTATTTCATGATAGACCTCATTTGGAAATACTCAACCATTCAAAAAAAAATGTACACGATTAAGTACTTATTTTTTCGAGGATGTATTGACAGGAGTTGAAATATCAATAGCCACATGCAATGGGTTTTTTCCACTACATAAACAGCGACTAGACCCCACCATCCCCTCATTCTAGACAACATGGAGGCCTCCTGTGGGTCCCCCTCACACAGTGGTAGGACTTTGTGTTTTTTTGGGGCGGTCAGCCATTGTAATAACACACATCATAGACAGTCAAAAGTTTAGAAACTAAACAAATCGGCATCTTCTGCTCCATTAAGAATTCATGAAACAGCTAGAGTTGATGTGCTCAGTGTTTGCACTTTACTTCTCAGTGGGGTGTATGAATGAGAGTTAGTTCAAATTGATTTTTTTGCAGCAAGACGACAGCCTTCATTTTATGAAAACAGCTGTTTTACATAATTTCCAATCCCTAGAAAAGCATTTCTTATTTTTCCCCCCCATTTGTTTGCTGTGAAATTTTCTAAGACAAAAGACAATTCAGTGTCAGCTCCAAGCAATATATCAATACTCAAATGTGTAGGTGGAAGATATGAAGGTTAAAGGTAAGACCATGTAAATAGAGTTAGAGTCAATGCACTGTATATGACTATAAATGCAAACAAAACTGTAACTTTTTAAGAAAGCTGAGTTGACAGGGTCAGTAAACATTGGAATATCTGCATAACTAGAATTAGAAAATTGTCTGGTACATCTACGCTTTCAATAGAAAACTTGAAAATGTATGCCAACACAGTGCCTTTGAGGCTGTCAATCTGCAAAAGTATTTACTTTATGGCACTAGGAAATTAATGGAAGCAAATGGAAGCACTGAGCACTGCACCCCTAGAAAAATCACAAAATGATTAAGGGCTCCTTCTGTGGATTCATGTTAATTAGCACACAAAATTTTCCTTCAGATTCAAAATCCTCTGACACTATTTAATTTTCACCAGTCTGCACAGCACCAAAATGGATTTCACACATAAAAACTGATTAACATTAAGAGGGAAAGAAGCCCGTCACCTGATCATCTGTAAAAATAAGGCAAGGTACAAAAATCATAACAATCGACTCCATGCAGACATTAAAACATGGCTGAATTTGGCTTCAAATTATAAAAAAAAAATGTTGGTCCAGTTCTTTAAAATCTTAAAAAATAATCTTGATTCTGTGCAAAAAAACAAAATTCAAACAATAAAACAATGAACACAGAGATTTGAAAGTGTAAAGTGGTAGTTGAGTGGAATGTCTTGATGTTTCCCTTTCGCATCCAGCTGATTGCACCATTAGACTTGTGACGCCAAGGCCGACGAGAACTGTGTATGTGATTGTTGTTGGCTATAAAAACCCTCCGACTGTCCCTGTGAGTCCATCCGGTCACCAGTTGTGATAAGTTAAATGCTTCACCATCTTGTTTTTGAGGGCTCAGAAGGCGAGCCGTCTTCAGTATGTTGTGCCTCTCCCCTCCTATAGTAATAGTAATGTCCTCTGGACGTGGATAAACTGTCTTTTAGGGGATTGGCAATGTTCTTTTACTGGCTGATGTTGAGGTTCAGTAAGCGACCATTCTTCAAAGGCACCGTACTGTACATTGGTGTATGTGTGTGTGTGTGTGTGTTTGTGTGGGCCGCACATGGGCACATGCATACATGGAGAAGTAAAACCAGTCAACAAAGTCGATTCCCTCCACTGGTGTCAGCCCACAAGGCATCACCATGACAACTAAGGCAAAATCTCTCAACATGAAAACAGAGCATCTGTTTTTTTTCTTTTTTTTTCTTATTTTAGTTTTTATCATCTGATTCCTTGTTGTTACTAAAATCAACTTCCCCCACAATAATCAATAGTAATGATAATAATCTCTATTCAATAAATTATCTATACTGTACAATTATTTCACCTCGCATAGACCTGCAACAAAGGGGAGCCTTTTTCAAAGTAAAGCTATCCACAGTCAGTTTCTGCTGTGTCCTCAATAGTTCAATAAAGCCTCTGCAGAGCACACAGAGGCTGACAGACAGCAAGCCAGTTTTTTCTTCTTCCCTGTACAGAAATTAAACAGGACATCCGCCAAAAGGAAAGAAAAAAACAAATCCAAACAAAAGCAAAGCTGATGCATAATTGAAGATAGAGAAACGGGGTAGAAACACTCACTGAAAAATGAGTATCCAGCAAAAACAACAAAAAAAAGGTATTTTCCTGGAGAGTGAGTAATTTTCACTGAGAACAGTAGATTGAAGATGGTTCCTGATTTAAAGGGAGCCAGGCCAGCAAACACCCGTGCCTTACTGCACTCCTTCTTCATCCACGTAGGTTGAGGGAAACCATCCAATCTGAAACATAGAACATTAATTAACAGAGATAGAAACTCTTTCATAGTAGCACATGTAAACAAAGGGTGTTAATTGAGTCATTCAGACACCTTTCTACACCCAGCTTAGCTGTATATGCAGTAAGATAAACAAATGGTAAAATTCACACATTCACAGGCCACTCACAATGCTTTGCTCTAATTGGCCGGAGGTTGTGCATTATTTTCAGATAACTGCACAACTCAGATGGAGCAGCATCATCTCTGTTCTAAAAAAATATTTGAAGGCTTCTTCAGATACTATTTCAACGGTTGCTAGGCAACAACTTCTCCTCCTTGTTGGAATAGTGATAGTGAACTAATAAAGAAGACAACAAACACAATAATGTATTTAAAGAGCATAATTTTTATCACTGGCATGAAGTCATTGGAAAAGTGGGATAATGCCCTCTGATCCATGAAGTTAGGAAATATAAAGCACTCATTGAAACCTGCATGTCGTTTCAAAGTTGTGTCCCAGATCAAGGGAAGCATTGTTGCTGCATGGGCTCCTCTGTAGCCAGTGGCCAGTGTGACTGCATTTACACCTGTCTGAAAGCCCCAGGTTCAACAGATTAACATTAAGTGTCTCTTTGTTAAACCAACATATCTAAGCAGATTTCGTCTATGTCAGTATCATTATATACACAGATTAGTCATCCAGATGGATCTGACATTTAATAAGACATGGTCTTGCAGTGACAAAGATGAACTTGTCATTTAAACATTTCCATAACGGTCCTTACTGAAGTTAAAAAACCGGACTGCACAGCAAACTACAACCCAGTTATTTGTGCAGTACACTCAGTCTGGCTCCACAGCAACACATTAACACTGTCAAATTTATAACCTAATGGGGAACATCCCGAGAATAAAAAGCTGACATCACATTGCAGTTTAACTGCCAGCCTATTAAACTGGCACATTTCCCAGCAGCCAGGCTTTCACTTTTCTCTTTCAACCACCTCTTTAAGGAGTGTTTTAATATCAATGGTTTAATTGTTAAATTCAGTAACTCTGGCATCCACAAAAGCCCACATGAGTGCTGTACCTTTGATGTAGAGTGCCTAAATACTTGGTTTTGTCTTACGCTGTAACTCAATGAACCCAGCAGTGGGATCAGTTTTTAATCAAATGTAGAACAGTACTAATCTACAAACATTAGCAGCCCCTAACACGTGGGACTTTCAGTCTGGCTCCATTATTGTCCTGATCAGTTTAAACATCCACAAATGAACCCAGTTTCATGATTTACTCACTCGCCCATTGGCCTCTCCTTTCCACCAGCCCTGGTCCCCACCGATCTTGCTGTAAATTTTGACTATGTCTCCTTCTCGCAGTGACAGCTCTCTCATGTCTCGTGCTGCAAAGTTATACCTGGCCACTGCTGTACTGACCACCCGAGGAGTAAACACTGTAAAAATGGAAACAATAGGAGCTCAGTCCATTCATATTGTATGAATTGAACAGCTTATTTCACACAGTTTTGTACATAATCATTACCTAAAGCTATTCATCATTGGTATTAAGTTGAGAGAGGAACAGTTACAGGACAAAATGGTAGTAATTAGTTCTGAATGATCAGAGGAAACATGGTCAGTTTAGTGTTCAGCATGACATAATGCAGCCTCACAATGATAAATGAGCATGATGGGAAAGGACAAGTTGTTTCATCATGGGAGAGGAAATTGGTTTTCTTTTCTTGATTTAATAGGAGAAGTGTCATCCTGGGAATAATTAAAATGTTCCACTTAATGAAAAGAGCACCACAGAGAAGAATTTAACAAGGTCGAAAGCGCAGAGGCTTATTATGAAATTACAGGCGATGAGGACAACAGGAGCAAGAAAAGAAAGACAAAGAGTACCTGACCAAAAGGGAGCTGAGCACTGGGAGGAGGAGAAGTTGAGGCCCTGCGGACTGAGGAAGGAGAAGTTGTAGGAGGCGCAGGTGGCTGCTGATAGGAGAAGAGAAAGAGGAGGAAATACGGCTGGAAAACATTTTGAAGAGCATGCATGCAGAGCTGAAGCCAGAGAAGCAGAGTTTAAAAAGGAGAGCTTGCGCATTGAAGTTGTGTGTCTCTTAAAGATAGGGTTCTGTTTTTATGATCATTAATCTTGATAATTTTGTTGTCATGATTGGACTGTTTTAGTGGTGTGACTGAAACAGTTTGCATATTGCAAATAGGATCAGTGTGTAGGATTTAGTGGCATCTAGCGGTGAGAATGCAGATTGCAACCAAGTGAAACCCCCTGACTCAACCTGCGAAAAAAAACTAGGGCTAGTGTTTGGTTTGTCCATTCTGGGCTACTGTAGAAACATGGTGGTTTAACATGGCGGAGATAAAAATGGCTCATTCTAAGGTAACAAAAACAATTCCAATTTCCATGATACACTAACGAAAACATACCTATAAAATTCCATTTCTGCCAATAGATCATCCTAAAATGTTACACACTGCACCTTTAATTGTTGCATGTAGATACAGTGTGACTGTACTGACTTTACTGCCCCTAATAATAAACAATCATCAGTTTTGAATTATTGTACAACAATGGTGACAACAGAACACATAAAGGCCGTCTGACTTTTAATGTGTGAAACAAGAAATAAAAAGGGACTACTACTACTCTACTCTTTGCATCATATTTTAATTGCATTCTGTACTCTGTACAGCTTTACCAGACAATGTTTGTCTGGACTCTCACTCTATTACCAAACTACATAATGGTGCAGGAAGCATAGCTTAAAAAGGGAATAAGCGGCTTTTACCAGCCCCTGAACAAACCCACTGATAATAGACTGTATGAACCATAGATGCTTCCTAATCATAATAGATCCCCCCTAATCCCACCACTGTTTCATTGCACACCGGTGGGGTGTGACACGCCTGCAACCACAGAAATACATAAAAATGTGCGTTTGAAAACAAACGAGCAAGAGCACATTATCATCAGCAAAGACTCAATTGTCTCCATTCATTTCCAAATTCAGCCAAAACAGGGGGGGAACAATCTTGCTGCAGTGGCCAGGTCCTCCTGCAGATCGAACAAAGGCAGGCCAATGCAGGACAAGAGCCAGTGCGAGGCCAGAGCCACTATTGCTACAGTCTAATGGACAGAGAGGGATGCCAATTCAGACAGCCAGTCCACAGGCCTCTGAGTTAGCTGACAAACTCTTCCTCTTTGTCTTTCTGTCTTTATCTAGTTTGCACTGCCAGACTCCTTTTCTGCCCTTTTCCCCTCTGTGCTTCCTCCATTCCTCTCTGTATGAGTCAGGAGAGTCATTGGTCGACGGAGGAGTAAAGACAAAGAGAGTGGGAGGTAGTTTGTCTCTTTAATTTTACCCTTCCTGGCTATATCCACTGCCAAGATGGCAAAGGGATTAAATTTGTAAGGTAGAACTGCAAATTATAGTGTCTCTACTCAAATTAGTGTTGTCATAATCATTCATAGAAGCAGGCAGATGTGTAAGTTGACACACAATATGCTTTTAGCCACTGTGCCTATAATCCATCCACCCATTTTCCATCGCTTATCCAGGTCTACGTAAAGTCCTCCAGCTCTTCCTGGGGTAATCCGAGGTGTTAACAGGCCAGAATTTATATGCAGTGTACAGTGTGTTCTGGGTCTGCTCGGTGGTCTTCAGTATTGCCGGAGGGATATGTCCATGGGGCATCTGAATCAGATGCCCAAATCATCTTAACTGACTCCTTTTGATGCACAAGAGAGTTCCTTCCAGATGCCTGAGCTCTGGTGGTTAGCTCAACCACTGATTTCATCACTCCTGTCTGTGATCTAATTCTTTTGGGAAATACCCTGAGCTCATAACCATTAGGTCAGGGTTATAACCTATATCGAGTGGAAGTGCCGGAGAAGAGAAACATTTGGAAGTCTTACCTGGTGAGCGTGTACTGGCTCGAGTAAGCGAGCGTTCTCTTGACTTGTAGGGGTATCGCAATGTGGTATCTAATAACTTGAAGCTTTCTTTCAGTGAATGGGACTGATAGTACTCCACCAGCTCCTGTTATAATAAACCATACAGAAGGATTAAAACATGCGGCCATTTGATTCGTTACACTGGTATCAAGGTACTGCAGGTATTTTGTGTTGTTGACTTACCAAAAGACTCTCAAACTTCTTGGCCTCAGTGATGTGAATCCAGCTGTCTTTTTCAATGACTTTAATGTGCTTTACTTCATCATTGAATCTGTAAAAACAAACGTCACAAGTAAAAACACCAAGAAGAAGAGAAATTATTTACAATAGCAAATTATTAAATTCTCCTTAACATTAAATATTTTGTTGTGTACCTGAAGGTCTAATAAATAAAATAAAAAAGTATTTTTCACAAGTTTAAGCCGACTGTTGGACTTTAATTATTTGCCTAAAGGCTGGTCCCCACAGCTCCTGTCGCACCTGTCTAAAGACATGAAGAAAAATGTGCCAAAGCATTTCTACCAGTACATCACTGTATGACAGCTCCAGTAAGAGCTATTACATTATTCCTCTGCGGGATGCATTCTCTCAGAGGAAATGCACACAACAAAACAGGATCAAAAAATAAAAAAGCAATTACCGAGTGGTAATTAGCCGGAGCTAAAAGATGCAAGGAAAAAGCTGACTGGGGCATCCCGTGAGAATTTTCATTTCCCACAAGATGTGGATAAAAACCTTCCCTTGAGATTTCCCTCTCCTGTAGGATGTGAAACACTCACTTGATGCTGATGGCGAACCTCTCTGCCTCAGCTGTCCTCTCTCTGATAAGATAGGTCCCACTGCTGTGGGATTTTAAAAGGTTGTCGGCCTGCTGGCGCTCCATGTTCCCTGCAAACCTACAGAGGAGCAGACAATGAACGTTGTGACCTCCAGATACGAAGTTATATAATCAATGTCATTGGAAAGGCTTTACAAATCGTCCGACATCAAACAGCTATGTAGTAATTAATCTTTTGGTTGCAGTCCATTTTGATGTCATTTAGCTTTAAATTGAACTAGTGCATGAAGTTAAGAGTGTAACTAGTATTAACATTAATAGAGCTGCAGTAATTAAATGACAGTGACCTCAGGGCAATGGTATTATAAGTGTACAGGGCCTTTAAAGTATGAGGATTGAATAATCTTAAATTCATAACCTTCAGAAATGAACGGTCTTACCAAGGATATCCATAGTAGTCTGCTTCCCTTGAGGACTGCCGGCTGGATAATGACTGGAAGGGCTGTCACAAATAAACAGACACTGCACAATGAATAACTTATAAAGAGAACAAAACCGTGAAGCAGAAGTAAATCTTTTATATGTATGTCCCACAGGTAGTTAAGTTTACACTAAAGAGGAAAAGAAGGGCTCTGGTATGCCCTCAGAAATCACACATACACTAATGATTCCCTTCAAATGCATACCTACTGTACATGTACATGGATGGCTTACCTTTGGGTCCAAATAAGGTTTGACACATGAACTGGGAAAGAAGCCGCTCTTTTGTGTTTGTATCAGCTTCCCCTGCAAGATAAAGGCGAGGCAAGTTTACTTGTACCGCACCGTAAATACTGACGCAATACAAAGTCTGCTTTACATGAGACAAACAGACGCATTAGAAGATGAAAATGAAATCTCATAGAAAATTAAAAGGAAAATTACATTAAAGCAATAGATAGTGTCAGTGTGGCTAGAGTGCAGCAATAAACGGCCCTCAGACTAAACATCAGTACAGTAGCCACCACAACGAGATTAATATGGACTAAAAGGAACACAGACTGCACCGATTTTCACAAGGAAAGGCTTATTTTTCTAGAAAGAAAAATGTCTACCAATGAAAACATTTGGAAAATCCTATAATCACATAAATCACTGGCTCCAACTGACTACACATAACATACATTACACACTGACGCCACTATTGCACTGACAACAAATGATAACACAGCTGTCAAGGTCGCCCATCAGCATCAGACTGACTTAAATATACCTGCTACCTGAAACGATTGATTTTTAAGCTTAACATTGACGTTTAATGGGGAGATTCATTGGTGACTTTAAATGTACAACTTCAGAAAGTTGCCCTGGGAAAAGCTAGCCTAATATAAGAATCTGAGCATGTATAAGAGTCAGTGATTCAGCAGGAGTGTCAAAAGTTCCCAGAGCTCCTGTCACTGGGGCCTAATTCAACCTCCAGGTTTGCAGGTACAGCTTCATTGATGTTCAACTAAAAATTGGTAAAGTCTTCATCTTGCTCCAAGAAATCAGACGAATGATTGTTCCAGTAGTAGCTGCAAATTTCAGATTCTACTCAGGAGTGTGTGACAGGTGCGACGGAAGGCAGCACAACTTGTGAAAGGACTCCCATGGGTATGTAAGCTGGTGCCAAGCGGATACAGTGCGACAGTATGCTGGAGTTTATATTTTATTTTTTTTATTCAACTTCAGAATCTGAAGAATCATAACTTTATTGCCAATATATGCTGACACATAAAGAATTGGATTCCAGTTCTACAGGAAAAGGAATATAACTAATCACAAGTTTTAACCATGTTGTGAGTACTGGTGGTCTGACACTCATGTAACTGCAATGTCCCTGGTCCAAATCTTACCTCACTAGGTGACCCTGCTCCTGACCTGGATTTGACACAGGTCTTGTCCTTTGTATGATGACACTTGACACTTCATGCAACAATTCTTGTTGCATAATGTTTTCATCAAAAAATCTACTTATCTCCTAGAATTCATGCCGGACCATAGCATCATTCATTTTTAAAAGATAAAGAAATGTTTGCATCTGGTGTCAACTTGTATCTACAATTTAGATAATGTAGTTTGCTTTTATAATTTGAAATTATTATCTTGACAAATACAGACCCCTGTGAGGACATTTTATTTATAGTGGAGTCAGTATGTGGACGCATTTTATTTAATGGAAAAGTAAAAAGATCAACATTTTAGGAAATGTCCTTATTTGCTTTGATGCTGAGTCTGAGATAAGAAGATTGATACCACGCTCTTGTCTGTAGGCTACAGTAAATATAAGGCTACAGCCAGCTTAGCAGAAATGTTAGAAAGAAACAGCTAGACTGCCACCTCGCTCACTAATTAACATGTTATATCCCTATTTATGAGGGGTTACATGCAGGACTATTTCTTGGCCTCACCACTGACTGGTTGCATGGCAACCTCATGGTGATGACAAGACTCCAGGAAGTCACTGAACCCAGCCAAGAGAAAACTTTTGTAAAGATTAAACAAACAAAATGTGAATTAGTTTGCCTGGGAGCGGCTGGTAGTCAGATTTGTTACCTTTGGACAGATCCAGGCTACACTGTGGGAACTGTAGCTCTTTTTATACAAATCCTACAGGGTAAAAGGGGCTATGAGTCCTACTCTGATCACCCAGATCACCTTCAAACATCTTTAAACCAGAAAGTCAGCACTTTAACTTTATAGTCATCGATTGATTTAAAATCAGATGAAACAAGGTCTCAGTGTCCTGGAGCTCAGAGCCAACATCGATTGTCTTCATAGTAATATTCACCCTTTATGTGTCGGAGTGGGACATGTTATCAGACAGAAGGGACCGACTACTGTACCTCCCACCATGTGGTGTCAGGATCTCCCTTCAGCAGCTCGATAAAATCTCCTGTTTGAAAACAGAGCGGTGTCTTCCCTGGAGGTGCCGGTGTGCCATGGTAGTTCCTCACTGCCACCATCTTGGGACCTGGATACACAATTAATCGTTTGAAGTGAGTATTAATAGAGGTAAGTGGGAGTAATAGTTGTGTTGATGACAAGGGATGAAAGAGGAAAAGATCTAACATTAAATATAAGAGCTGCTCGCTGTTGTTTGGACATGCCTCTTTGGTTTCACATGTAACTGATATAAAAATCTGAATCAGTGGTCTAAGATACACAAAATAAAACCACAACATCCTGGGTTCAAATTTGATCCAGGATCTTTGTTGCATGGTATCTCTTTCGCCGTCTACTTAGAAGTATCTTTTAATGCAAAAATGCTAGAAAAAACAAAGAACATGTTACCAAGAGCAACTTTGTAATTTAAAACTGCCTTTTCTCTTTCCAGACTGTATTTATTATTCCCATAGACCAACTATGATATCCCTCTTATCCAAAAGGTCTTCAACTTATCGAATTTCAAGTAATATTTATACAGTAGGATTTCTATACATGTATGCACTGCCACCCACTCTACAGTACATGGTTGATCATGCTGTGGTTTATGTGCAGTGGACCTATCCACTAGATGGCAGTAGAGGGCTGTGCTGCTCAAAAAAAGCTCTCGCCAATAACAAACTTGTTACATGACAGCTGACAGAATATCTAGCTTCATCTGAAAGTGTTCTCCATCATGTTTAGGTGACAGAAGGTGTTCTTACCTGATGATAATCCAGGTTCCTATAAAAGAGAAATACATATTTGATCAAAAATACTATTACAAACAAAATACAAAAAATCTATTCAGGGAAAATGGCAAATTGGAGGGTAATAATGACACTGATGATGATGATAATGATGTTAATGATAATATAATACTGCTAGAGTAGGCTGACGTATAGAGGGTCTACTCACCAAGTCATGAGGATCTGAAACAAGACAAAAAAAGACAGTAACAGTCATGGAGGGTTCACATTTCAGGATAACAGTTCTCATCATATGGGATTTGTGTGGCTCTTTTCAATATGCTATATCAAACACAAATTAAATGTTGCTTGATTGGCTGCCTGGTAAAATGTTAAAATTGTGAAATTTCAGGCAAGGTTAAAGTTGAAAGTGCCAAATTATATGGTAAGTACACACATTTTCTTTCTGGTGCCTGGCCCCATTATTTCTTCCCATTCCCAATCAGTCCCATTTTTCTTGCCAGTTTTGTCCAGTCCAGAAGAATTACTTTTCACACTGACTAACTACAGTATTTAGGTGTCATTTCACCTAAAGAACCATAGGAGGTGTAGGGTTACACACTGGACCTCACTCAGAGTACTGTGCTGGCTTCAATTTGAGAAAACAGGCCTGTGAGTTTCTCAAAGATGCAGTGGGTAACTTTTCTAAACAAAAAAACTTTTTGCTCAAAATAGACATAAATATTCTGCACATCTATTTCATGAGGCATGTGCGTAGGAGTGGGATGAGCATCCAAAAGTAGAAGACTACTGCACATAGGGAATGATTGTTTACAGTTGTGTAGCCACTCCTTATTAAGATGGCTTCTCATTATCATCAACCATTTGCCTAATGAAAGTCTAGTACCAAAACACTGCAAATAAATGTTTGCACTGCATTGTTCGGGAATTCTACTTTTGTCATATTTGCTGAAACTTTCACTATATTGACATTTTTTAATTTAACAAATCAATATCAATTTGATCAAAACAAAACAAGCCCTCACATCACAGTGTCATAACCATAAATGATGTCAGACAACATCAATGAACGGTCGATTACACCCAAATATCGACCCTTCAAAAGTAAATGTGAATCAGGCTTTCTACAACAAGACTAGAGGAAACACTTACTGATTTTACAGATGGTGATGACTTCCAGACACTCTTTGTGTGCTCCTGTTCCACAGCGAGAGCAGTAGTAGCCCTGATAAAAGATGCCCCTAGAGGACACACACACACACACACACACACATTAGAAATGCAAACAGGAAGTGTCTCAGACACAAATTAACTTCTTGTAAGTACAACACACAAGGGAAACTGCTGCTTGTTACTATGTGCCTGCTATTGTGGTTACACATGCTCCATAATTTCCACTCTGCAAACCCTTAAAATCACAAAATCAACTCGCCCCATTTAAGAGCATGTACTCCAGAATAGTATTTGTTACGGGGACTGTAGCACTGCATGCATCGCACACTGCCATGTTGAATAGTAAGCGCCATAAATCACGATGGGATCTGCTGGGGCTGCAGCAGTAATTAGCATCTAGCAGGGAGTGAGAACGTTGGTCCCTGCTTCCACTGGCTGTGTGAATTTAGGTCAGCCAAGCCATGAAATTTGTGGGTCAATACACAGAGTGGAGTTTAGCCTGCTGACTGTAATAGAGGTGAAAGTAGTGATTCAGTGGCACGGGTTATCCCTGCTGCAGTCGAGCAACACTCTCACATGGGAAGAGTTGCGCTCAGGGACACAGTGGGTGGTGCTGAGAAGGGGAATGTTTAAAAATATAATCCATCAGCCACATTCGCACTTAGTCATTTTTTTTTCTCCAAAGATTGCTTTCACACTAATGAGGGGCTACGTTAGCCAAAAACATATTCCCTCTGTGATTTAAGTCTGTTTGTTTGTTTGCTGCTCACCAAGTGTGGCTGAATTTCTCTTTAGTTTAGCTCTTCAATTCTTCGCTCACTGTCTTCACCTTTGAGTAAGTTTTTAACTTAACACAGCTTTTACTGGTGTTACATTTACCAATACATTTACTATCAATGTACATTACTGCTGTTGCATGACAGCAGTGGTGGAAAGTAACAAAGTACACTTATTGAAGTATTTCCATTACTACTTATACTTTATACTTCAAATCCAACAAAATTCAAATAGAACGTACTCTTTGCAAGTGCATTTCTGTGGCAGCTGGAGTTACCATTAACTGGACATTTAAATAAAAAGAAAAGACATAATGACCTATAATTCATATAAAAAATGACACCCTAAAACTAGAGAAACTGTAGTTAACAAAATTATCTATTTTCAAGGTCCACTGAATCACTTTTTATGTCAAGTATTATTTTCATTCTGGTATTGCTATGTTTTATTGAAGAAAAAACGATCTGACTGCTTCTTCCACCACTGCATTTAACATGGATATTGTTTTTGTTTATGTTACATAACCTGTGTCAGGTTCATAAAACATCTCACGTCCACATAAAAAAATGTGTCTGACCACATAGTACAAATAACACTGAAAAAGAAATCTCTTTTACTACTGAATATTTTTGGATACTTGATAGTTCTTGGAAAGTCTGGAAGAAGATACATTCATTATTCATTGGAGAATATGAATGTGCATCAGCACTGGGGTTATCAGGGTCGTTACCTCAGGAGCATCTTGCAGGCTCGACAGTTGGTGTTCTTATCGAATGTGTGCATTTGAAAGTTATGCTGATTGGCTGTGGCTCTCTCTGGCTTGATGTTGGACCTGGAAGTGAATAATAATGATAGAGCTGATTGGTTAGTTTTTGTCATTAATTAGCTTGATATTACTGGCATTTAAAGGTGAGATATGTAAGAATTGAGACTACTCTTACATTTACAGTATATTTCAAAATAATAGGGTGCAGCATATCGCATATCAGGTCATAACTGCTGCCAACTGCTGTTAGCTTAGTTAGCGGTGCAGTGTGTGGAGCCAGAATATTTATTTTTTACATCTAACTCTAAGAGAGCTTGGGTAATGTAGCTGCTGCTTGCACACATCTCCCAGCTGAATGCCTCTTATGGCAAAAGCCTACAAAATGGTAATATAAGACAGTACGGGTCAGAGCTAACTGGTTTTCACGCATCTCTGCAACAACAGTATAGACGTCTTTGACATAACGTAAATTTCTTTTATTTATGCACATTCTGTTTATAATTTAAGTTAATTTTTAAATGTTTTAAATTCTTAAATCTCTTAAATTCTTACACACTGCACCTTTGATTCACTGGAGTAATGGAAAAAAAAACAGACAATCCCATCTGTTTTTTCAGAGTTAAAATGACATATACTACAAAAAAAAATGGTATCCATGTAATCATACTCACATGGCCATGTCAAACTGCTCCATCCACTTCCTCTTTGTCTCCTCAGTTTTACAAAAGAACTGGAAGCCCTGCTTCCCTTGCAGGTGGATCAGGTAGAAACCATAAGACCACTGGGGAGACAAAGTGAGTGAGGAACAGATGGCAGAGAGATATGTGGGTGGAAATGACAATGACAGAGACAGGCAAATAAGCTTGTGATAACTGCACTTTCAAATAAATATGTACCAAAACATACAGTAAATGTGATCACATTTATTTCAGAGCTAAGAAATGCTTCACATGCTTTAGCAATGCATCTGACCAATAAGCTGGAGGGTCAGTCACAGAGCCGGCGGGGTGCACGTGCAAACACGGCATGACACCCAAAAACACCACTGCCAAAAATAGGCCACTATGAGAGGATGAGTTAAATAAAGGGAGTCACTTGAGCTTACCATTTTTCCACTCGACTGGTAAGCATGCAAAAAGAAAGACACCAGAGAAAGACCCAGTTACACATGCAAACATGGACAGATACATGCAGATTCAAAACCAAAAAAAAAGCCATGTTAGACCGGTGGTGCAATGCACTGCAGTACGTTATCATGAATCCGGAATGACCTTGATTGCATTTACATGGTCTTTCAAGCATGGGCGAGCAAAATGCATATCTGACACTTCAATGCATTACTCATGAATTCTATATCTAAAATTACCATCAACAAGGTCCTTCAGCTCGAGGACAACATTTATAATGATTACACAGGATGTTTCATCACCTGCACTAGCAAGACACTGCCCTTACAAAGATCTCACTGTGTGTGAAATTATTCTGTTCGGTGTCCTTTTAAACTAAAACTATGACTCTTACCTTTTTCATGTCTCTGTTGTTCATGGGGTCATCAGACATTTTATACGACTGCAGTTCAATAATCTCTTTAAGCTCATAGCTGTAGCCTTTCCTCTTGCAGACAATGACCACTTTATCAAACAGGAATATATACCTGAACACAGATACACACACAGTCATTGTTAATATGTCATTGCTGGCATTGGATGACTTTATTTCTCACATCCTTTGGGTAGTTCCTCTGCGGCGTCTGGACTCACCGGTCCTGTTTTGTTCGGTTGACGATGGAGCACACCTTCAGCTCTCCGTCTATCTTTGGCCTTCCGTACTCCTCCAGTTTCACCTGCTGCTTAGGTCACAAGGACACACACGCAATGTCAATCCCACTGCATATTATAACTTCTAAATTTAATGAGAAACCATAAATAATTCAGATACACTTGAATTTCAAAGAGAATGCAAATAGGTATACAATGAATGATACAACTCGGACGCTATTCAGTCCCTGTTCAGTGGCTTTTTTGTCCTACTAATCCAAATTTTCTGTATGTATGGCACATGTACAAGTCCAAAATAAACCCTATGACTATTTGCACCTTGGCTGGAAGCAACAGGAAAAGAGAGTTGAGCGGGAGTACGAACGGAAGTGAAAGGAGAAAACACTGACAGAAAGACAAAGAAAGAGAGTGCTGTTAGAAATATTATGGGAAGTGAACATCAGACTGAAATGTACATGACGTCTCTTGTTCATTTTCTGCAAGACTAAATGATTTATTGGAGACAATATAAGAGTGCAAGATTGTGACAAGTGGAAGCAAGACGATGCCAGTGTTCTTAGCACAGACATTCCAACAATGGGAGCAGGAAAAATAGACCTGTAAATGTAGTTTCAGAAATCATATCTTTTACTATAACATTAAAGCAATAGGTTGACATTTTCAGGAGAGATGAGAAACTGATACGACTCTCTTATCTGCAACCTCACGGTGATGATGAGCCGCTGGAAAGTTACTGTCCCTGGCTGAAAAGTACTCTGTGACAAAACCCCATATACCACTTTTACACGTTTTTGTGTTGTGTTAAGCTAACCCTCTGCTGGTATACACAAGCATGGTTTAAATCTTCTGACCTAACCTTCGTCAAGTGTTTTTTTTCCCCAAAATGTAGAAATTTTGCTTTCCCTTCTGACTTCAAATCAATGAAAAGAGCCCAGATAAAAACACGATACAGAAAACAGAAATCTCTTGTGAAATAACCAATAACTTTAATAGATAATTATAGAAAGTAGGTAAGGGATTGCATCACTTATAGTAAGACATGGATTTATTCAGATAACATAGGAAAAAAAATCTCTAAATGAAAAAGATGTGACTGAGAAATTCCTCACTTACAAGATTTTCTATTGAACTTTGGAATTCGCTGATTTTCTTCAGTGTCTCGTTGTCCCTCTTGACTTCGTTGATGTACATGGCCAGGTCCTGAGAGGGCAAGGCAAAAATTCTTTCTGACATCTGTCATAACACGGTAGACTTACAGTGCTTTGAGCCATAGTAGCTGTATGAAACAATTTATACAGCTTTGGCTTAGAGCCCTGAAGAGTTATTATATAATATTTCTTTAAAGCGCACTTATGAACACACATACAAGAGCATGTGTAACACAGACCTGCATAGCCTCCAGAGCCTCCTTGAGTTGCTGTCTCTCTGGTCGGTCAGTTGAGTGACTCAAAAGCTCCTGTGGAGGGAGATTATTATTACTGTTTTCTTACTTCCTCAGAACAGTAATAAACAACTTTCGACACAAGGTCTGAAGAAACACACAGTATTCTTTATTGAAATGCATGATCTTACAGTAATGAGAGGGATTTGTTGTGAGAAATGTATAGCTGCTCTTTACTGTGATTATGGATGTGACACTGATGCGGCTCAGAATAAGTTTTAGCTCAGCGGCATAAACAGCAAAATATAAAAGACAAGAGGAAGCCAGAGACATTGCTAACTAGCCTCCAGGGCTGACTGTTCTTTATGATTAACAAGATAATGGTAAATGTGTTGTCCCCTCCAAATCGGGTTGTCATCCATTTAGACAATCAATAACAAATATGTTACATCATTTTGATCTGTGATTGTTTCCGCCACTGGGGTGATTTATAAAATGCTGTAGAGCCATGGTGAGCCAAAAAAACAAGCCTTATCAAATCTTTTTTGTTTTTTTTAACAAAAATGAAATTCTGTCAGCTGTCCAATCAATCAGCAGTGTCCTAAAAAAATCATATGTGACACAGACTGTTTTATTGTCACCACACGGTTGCTGGGATTCCCATTCACAGCACATATGTATGTAGGCTACACAGGACATCTTGGCAGAACTGTGCATGAACGCTTCATATTTTGAACTTCATATTTGTATCCAAATCTAAAAATATTCTCACACAGTCAGACTTGTTGCAGCGTGCTGCACTTTGTTGTTTGCTTTGACTCATATCATTAAGCTTATGACAGCGACAACAGAGTGCGGCATCTATAAATTTAACTTGCTTTTTTCACATATATTTGTTTCTGTGATATTTTTCTATTTTTACCATTCTGGAAGTGCAATGGACCTGTTAATGGCAGGTAGAGTGCAGATGTAACTACAATACAATAAACAGTACCAGTGCCAGTGCCTTGGAACTGGAAAACCGTAAAAGGAATCCAGCCTTTCTTAATGGTATTATTTACACACCCTTTTCCCACTTTGACAAATCAAAAATACTCTGCACTGCAGTTCCTGTCCCTGCTAACTCTTTCACGTGCTGGCAATGAGCTTCACCAGAGGGCGTAACACTGGTCATACAACCCCCTCAGTTCCACCCCCACTGTGCAGGCACCATGAACAGTCATTAGTGCGGAGACAAGGACATATCCATCATTGGCTTCCCACCAGCAACAGCACCAGCACAACCAAAAGGAAAGTACTGTTGTTGGCCCCTGTTTTACCTAAATTACATTTATTTTTAATCCAAGTGACTCAGCAGATCTTTTCTGTACCGTGGTCTGTTAGTTTTGCACAAGCGAGAGCAGCCAGTGACAACATGCTGCTGCACAGCCCATAATCTCAACTTTAGAGGACAGATGTGATCACATGGGTTCATAAAAACACTGCAAATTCATCAAATATTCATCCCTGCTTGAGGAAAATTACTTCTGAGATGACTTTGCTGAATTCACTTTATTTAGAGTGTGGCTGTAGTACATAAAAGATGAAGAAAGCAGAGTATTCACACCCTGATCAAACAGGGAAACACTACTGTGATGATATGTATAGAAAATTGACTGAAGATGTGCCCTTAGGCATGAATGGACACACACACACACACGTACACAAAAACAGGACTTGTCAGTTTGATATGCCCCAAGGCCACAGCATACAGCAGTGTTTTACTGCAAAGCTGTGGGAAGCAGTGAAATGGGGTGCGTTTAATGTGATTAGTGCACGGTTGATTTGACCTCAGTGCCTTGCTGAGACTCCTGCAGGGGTTCGATTCAAACTAATAGAGAAGTCGCAGCAGTCTCCGTGTAGTCCCACAATCACCTGGCACAAACACTTGCCTCCACCCCAGTCCATTACGCACCGCATCATAAACTCATATGCTCATCCATAATTAAGATGCAAAGTCAATTAATCATGGGGAATATTACAGTGGCCAGCTTGTTTTATACATGAACGCCAGGAGGGGAGCTCCAGGGAGAAATGTTGGCTGAGATGTCAGTGGTCAGGCATTGTGCTAAACACATTTGCATGTCGGCAAAATTGGCATCAGTGCAAGGCTGCAATTAATGATAATAGCTAGTAGCTTATTATTTCTTACTAATAGTTTTAAACAAACCTTAAAAAATCAGTTTATTATGAGTGCACACATTTGAGAGGCACTAATCCTATACATTTTTTGATAAATTACTCAAAAATGTTATTATAATTATCATCAATTTCAGCACTCAACCTGACGACAAAAATAAAAAATGTATGAGAAAGAAAATGATTTTACTCAACCTTAAACTTGAAATAAGACTCTTATTGATGTTCTCAGTCTTAACACATAACTGCCAAGCTAAACACAAGGGACACTGATATATCATTCTACTGACAAACACTGGCACAAAGCCTTATCTTTGATTGAGTTATCTTTAATTTGTGATAGAAATCTCAACATGCATATTTGAACCAGAGGAGTGAGTAACAAATATGGAAACAATAAATGAAAACCAAATTTGAACCAAAGCACAAGTACAAAGGCAGACACACAAGACAAGTTGTATTAGTCTAAATGCCAATGTCACCACAGTGGCTTTTTGAAGATACAAAGTGCAAGTAACATTTTCCAAAAGGGCAAAATAGTCGGTGCCCAAACTGCTGGTGGACTGGTCACAAAAACAACAAACACAATTCATGTGACAAGGCTAAAATTCTGGAAAATGATGACAGAAACCGGAGAAACAACAGTCACCAGTCAAATATCACTGACAGGAATAAACAGACTTGATGCAAAGTAGCTGTTCAGCATCAAAGTCCCAACAAAATGAGTCTCACAATGCTGCCATTTAAACATGGCGAAGTATAATATGTGTAGCCTTACCGTGGAAATCAAACTGTTGCTTTGTATGGTCATTTAAATACCTTATACATTTGTTTAAACACTACTGTTCCTAGTTCATAGCTTGTATGCTTACATCTGTTCATGTAAATCTCCAAGTGTTACATTTACTTTATGGACACAGAAGGAGACAACTTATTTTTGGACATTAGTCTCTGAAGTGTGATATATTTACCCCAGAAGTGTAGGAGTCTAAATGGCAATACAAAAACTACTTCTGGTGCAGCTATGGCTCTACGAGGAGGTGGTAAAGTGGATATTGCTGCAGGAGTAGATTGAGAATCTCTCATGGATATGTTCTTTCTTGCAGTAAAACTGGGCCACTGTTCAGATACATTGTAACTGCTGTGAATCCGAGCTTCCTCAATAAAGAAGCTACAAACTCGTCCGAGCCAACTTTCAAACCTACAGGGGGTGAGTGTTTGATATCTAAAACATGGAAACTAAAGAGTGTGAAATAGCATTTTTTATTTCCATTTGCTTCAATCATCAAAGTGATGAAGACTTCCTTTCTTTAAGACCTGTCCAACATCCAACCACAGACACTGAAAGAGCTGTAGAGCATTTGAGTTGGACGGAATCTGGTATAAAGGCCAATTATGGTCCAAATTAGGTTCTCAAGTTTAGTTGTTTTGTTTACTTTAACGTGATTAAAAGGTGTAAAAATGACTGTGTTGTAGGTTTTGCAGTTGGGAGATGTCTCCTACCTTCAGTAGTAGGTGATACTTCAGCACCCTCTGCATGGGAACCACCAGAAGATCCTGAAGCTTGAACTTGCCTTCCTGCACTTTCATAGTACATTCCTGTGGACACAAGCAGCAGGGAAATTATTACAGATGGCAGAATGCAGCATTGCACATTTCCTACTAACAAGCCTTCATTCATTGTTCAATAATTCATTGTGTCGTGTTGCATTGCTGTGATTGCTTCCACACATTCATTGGGGCATGCCATTAGCAACAACGAGGCCAGTTTATTCTTTCGGGGCACAAAAGCTCTGGTCGCACCAGCCATTTGTGACGCAGTTACCCTGCATGCTGATGGGGAAATTCCTCTGACTAATGAATACATTTCTATAAACTCTGCACTGTCTCTACAAATGAAAGAAAGAAACTGTCTTTTGTTAGTAACATCCTAGAAGGTTCCCCCCACAGTGGTTTGTGTAGGCGACTCTTTATTCAGTTTCTATAAGTGTGCAGAAACAAGGCCAGCTTATCCCTCTTTAAAAACAAGGTCTTGTATGTAAAAAGACAGTGAGAAGCTGTTTTACCCTGTTACAAAGCTCTTCTATTTTGAGAGAGAGTATCTCAGCACGGCTCCAAGAGCTATTTCTCTGACCATCACTGGATTACATTACAGGAGTGTTAGCCTTTCACTATAATCAGTCCAGATTCTTCTAAGAGTCCTGGATTAGAGAAGACCAGAGAATAACAGGACACAAAGAGGGAGGTTGTGCACCAGAAATGGACTCTGAATATCACCCAGATTTCAATCATTAAAGGAAATACAAATATTTCTCTTTTAAAGTAGATTTATCACGACAACTACAAGATAAACATGAAGCTACCCAACTAAACCTCTTGAAGGCAATCATGACAAATCCACTCTCCTCTTAACACTGTAGTCGCCTGTATAAATGGGGTAATGTTGAATCATGTTTATTAAAACAGATTATTATGAATCAAACAGTTCTGAGGGCATATTTGCAAATGACATTATTTGCCTCTCTGATTTAATATCAATTTGCCCTTGACAATGGCAAAATTGGACCACATCTATTCATTTATTGAAGTCATCATTTATTCAACAGCAAATGTAACTTTAACACTTGTGTAATGATTTTAAAAGAGATGTCAGATTCTTTAAAATGTCATTGGTACATTTGCATAATTGCTTGTGGAACATGGTTGCATTATTTTAGAAGGCTGCTGTCTTGTTTGAAAGATTATTTTGTTTTTAAACCCCATAGACATTCACTGCATTGCACACAGTGACATCTATCTTTGTTGTTACACAGTCAGCATTTCGTAAAACTTGTATCAGCTGCAAAACTGTAGGGAACTGATGTTTCAGAAGAGACGAAAGTGTAAGAAAAAAGTGTACAGTATATTTTCTTAAAGCAAACCTAAAGAGAACACACTTCACACAAAAATACAATTTATTAACTTGTTTCTATTCTCTAGTTGTAATACTGAGTGTGGTACTGATGCAGAATAGAAGCAGGAAAAGCACATACAGTAAACGATGTTTACTGATTACTAAGGTTGTAAGTAATGACTATTTTCACGATTCATTTAAAAGTTTACTATCATATATGACAAAGAAAAACATGAAATCATCACATTTCAGAAGAAACCAGCAAATGTGATTGGTTATTGGTATTTTTACTTGTAAAACATTAGTGAAACTGTTACTCTACTAATAAAATGGTTACTGATAAATGTTCTGTTGATTAAGTAATTGTTTCTGCTCTAATGGATAACATAATGTATGTGAACAGGCTGGTAGCTTGACCGTCACGATGTACTAACAAATTTTGTATTCTGTTAAAGGTGGTAGAAAAACCTTTGCATTGTCTTGTGGCTTTAAATTTTTAGGTGTTATTTTATCAGTCAAACACCTGGCTCTTAACACTTCAAAACTTTCTTTTAAATTACCCCTTTAAGGGTTACATATCACAGGTTTCTACTCAAGTAGGTCATAAACAACCAGATGTGCTGAACCCTACCCGCTTCTTATTCAGTCTAACAAAGAAGCTAGACTGTAATGTATTATTTTCACATAAATGCGCTACATCTGTGGGTTGTCATCTGTTTGGGGTAAGTGGTGAAGGACATTACCTCTACTTTAATCTTGACATCCTCACGCGTTGCTATAAGTTCATCCAGTGTCTTCTGGGCGTTCTCCATGTGGCTGCAGTACTGACCATAGATCAACAACCTGGTGAAAGACAATTCAGCAACAAGTGTTAATCTAAACACACTTTCAAGGTTTGTTGTCCTTCATGGGACACATTTTGAAAAGGAAACTATTCAAATAATTTTAGATGAATGTTTGACCATGGCTCCTTCTGCCAGGTATGATACAGTAGTGTGGGCACCTCACTGTGTATTAAAAACATACCTCTATTCATCCTCTGAAGGCTCTCTATCACACCAAACACACCAAAGCAATCAGAGTAAAGACCCAAGTTGGTCTATCAATCTAAAGTGAAGTATAACCAATATTTCACTTGGTGATTACATTTCCTTTTTAAGCTGTTAACCACATTCACTCCCACAAGCCCTCTGTGGCTGAATACATCTTACAAATGTTTCAGCTCCAAATGATGAAACATTAATGCCAGTTAAGAGAAATCTCTAGCTGAGATTTTGTTTTAATTTGCTGCCTCTTCTCTGCGAGTATGGGGACATTTGAAGACATGTGACGTGTTCAAAGCCTAGGCTGTGGTTAAAAATCTAAAAATAAGACTTAATTAGGACTAATGAGGCTCTTCTTAATTTTCAAAATGTCAGAAATGTATATCACATCTTTGCAAAAACATGGCGACAAAAGAGATTGCTGTTTGAGTCCACAGTTAGCTGGGAACTCGTTAGTGTCTCGGAGCCTTCAGGCAACGTACCGCACATTCATGTTAAGATTAATAAGACAATTTGAGAGGTCAGCCTCAGAGTCATCTGGCACTATAGGGGGCAGACAAATTAATATGTGAATGAATGTATTATGATTAGGAATATATGTGAATACCATGAATAAGTAATGACTGGCTTCTGATCCCTGGGCTAAATTTGGAGGGGCGGCATCCTCTCGCCAATAAGCTGTAATCACAGAGCACTAATGAAAGACGCTGCTTTATATCAGCTGCTTTGCAGAGTTCCTCTTATCAGCGTGTGAGGAAAAAAAAAATCTTAATTTCGAGCAGCGAGGTTATGAGAGCTGTGTTCATGAGATATTACAATGGGACCCTGACACAGATCTGTGGGTTCAGCTGGGAGGAAGTTCAAAGTCATCTTGCCTGGAGGATGCCACCGCACGTGGCACACATTCCTCCCGCTCATTCACTGACTCAAAGTAGGGCATTGGCACGGCTGGTATAGGGCAAAACTTGGCACTCTGGTGTCTTAATCTGAATCTTGAGAGGGGTAAGAGGCGGTGCAGTGAACTCGCACTGTGCAGTCTAATCAAGCTTCTGATAGATCTGTGATGTAGACAAGAGCAACACTACAGAGAGACCGAACAGAGGAAGTTTGTATGACGATGATGATGATGCAAATACAGGGAATAAAACAAAAATGTCACATAATTCCTGCTCTTTTCCTAAAGCTAGTTTCATACATTTAAGACTCACTATTTTTAAAATATCTTCACTGACAAATACCCATATTTTTAAAGCATCATATCAGTTTAGACTGATTTTAATTTTATACCTTTATACATCTAGAAGTTATTTCCTGCTGCAAGAGTCCACTGTAGTTTATAGTAAACCAAATTTTTCTCTAAAACAAAGTGATAACAGGGAAGGGAAATACAAATAAGGTGCCAATCGGGCAGAAAGAAATCAATCAGCAACCATTTTGATAATTAATGTTTCATGCAAAAACAATATTTGCTGGTTCCAGCTCAGTTGTGATGATTTGTTACTTTTCTTTGTCTTATGTGATTGTCAGAGAAATATAATTGGCATTTGGACTGTTGGTTGGTCAAAACAAGCATTTTGAAGCATTTACCATTAACTGGTTATTGACACAGTTGCCACTGTTCACGTTGTTGTCATGTTGCTTTTAAGCAGTAGTAGACACCACTTTACAAATTATAAAATGCCACATGTAATCAGACTTATTACTGTAAATAGATTTTAAAATGATTACAGCTTGACACCACTGCTCCCAAAACACATTAGTACAACATGAATCTCCATTATTAATATAAAAGCATCTCTTTAAATATATCATTCTGCTCTTGCCGCATTTCTTACCTGCTACGGCTGTAAAACTGTGATTTGGTGTCATTTTTTTTCCAGAGGTGAAACTCTGAATCAAAATCTTCCTCTTAAAAGCATTTAACATTTCTGTCAGAACCATTCATCAGTTGATCGTCCTCTGTTCCACAGAGATCCACCACCGATGATCACTGGAGCTTCACTGGAGCTGGAGTTTTGACTACATCCCTCCTGCAGCCATACTCCTACCCTGGTTCAACTGGCCCTAGGCTAACAAGTCCCTGATTAAGACTTGATCCATATATGGGGAGACAGCTCCCGTTAACTCCCGCCCCTCCAGGACAACATGGTGATTGAGATTAATGGGTGCTTGATCAGTTATAAGACAGCAGGCGGACTGTGCACGTAGCGAGGATCCAGAGGCACCCGTCATAAAGTAAGTTATCAGGACACAATCTGATATGAAGGTCTTCCTTTAAGAAGATGCTGTATGACAGGAATGCAAAGGACTCAGGCTTCTAGTGTGAATGTGGGAATCATAGCAGTGATGTTACTGGCATTCATCAGCAGAAGAGATGAAAGAAATAAAGATTAACAACATTAAGGTGAAGCAGCTAGTTCTGCAAAATGTTCAATGCTCTTCTTAAAGGACTTGTAGCCTAACGTCTGAAGGCCTGATATGTAGCTTTGTTTGTTAATTTATATTCTTCAGTGTGTGCCCTTAATACGCAAAAAAACCTCAAATGGAGACTTTCTCTCACAGCAATAGCAAGAGCTAAGTGAATTAAAATGATTAAAAGAGTCATTCGTTGCTCATCTGGCTGAGTTTAAAAGAAGGATATCCTTTAGTGTGTGTATGTATGTGTGTGTATGTATGTGTGTATCACTGTGCCTGGAGCAGGCAGCTCGTTCTCCACTTCCTGAGAGGTCACTTTCTGACGAACCCCCTTGCGGCAAACCATCCCATAAGCCCACCTTGACGTCACCTATTGCTTTGTGGAGCACCGTTTTGACATTATGGCTGTCGCCATGTCATTTTTTTGGAGCCACCGGCGATTACGTACTGTCACACACGTTCTTGTAGTACAGATAAAAAGTACACTAAATTATTTTTAAGTTTTATGTATACATTCAATGTGTTCAAACAGACAGCCATCATGACACTGTAATAAGGAGGCCTTATTATCTGAAATATCTAAATGAATGATAATGTGACTACATGTCCGCTGGAAGGCGACTGTTACACTAAATGTTAGCCGTAACAGATTTATATGGTGGTTATATAGGTGAAATCTGTTTGTCAAAAGATGGATTATAATTATATTACATCCATTCTTCTGTAATTACGGAACTCAAAAAGACACAATATTATTATAGCGCTTATTTTTTCAGTTATTCTATGGATGACAAACTCTATCCATGTTATTTTCCTCTCAGATTAGTTGTGTTCAGCATCTTGGAAAGGCGAGGAATCAAATTCTGTATGTAAAATAATAAAGTATTTTGTACTACACAGAAGATGAACGATGCTGATTAAAAAAAAATACAGTAGGTCTTCAGTGCATACAGAAAGGAAAGCATCTCTTTCTAACACAAAAATATCACTCACACAACCAGTCAAACAATAACTGGATCTTTAGATGCCGTGTTGTGTGAAAACAAGTTACACATTTACACATTTAATAACAGCCTTTCATATGAGACTTGAGAGTCTAGTCAGAGTCTGTGTCCTCTTCACTGAGACAGGCAGTGGAACAAAAGAGCTAATGACACACAAGCACAGTGCAGCATGCATCCACTCTTGGCCCAGTCATTCATAATTAGTCCGTGACACACTCCTTACTTGACAACAACGTCTGGACACATCACTGTGGGAGGTAAAGACTAATCATTTCCTGTTTTCTTCATGTACCTCTGCTTGAATATTTGTGATCTAAAATACTTTCTAGACAAGAAAAAATAAATCATAACTTTGAATATAGGATTCAGCATCTTAAATAATCCATATCAGCCTTTTCCAAAACAACTAAAGTAACCTTGAGAATCCTAAGATCTTCAAAAGGAGATACAATTATTACAGCATTACTCTAAACATCCCATGCAGAATATTCAAAGAATTATAAAGCCAAACAATCAGAGTGAGATTCCAAAGGTCCAATATTTGCTAGAGTGGAGCGTTATTGAAGCAAATGCTGCCTGGTTTAATGTAGGAATAGTATTCATCATTGCATTGCATTTGCGTAAATTTGCGTAAATGTCGATTTTCTTCTCATTTCTAAAAATGTACAGATGAATCAGGTTTCTTGACAAAAGACAGAAGCTGATGATGTGAGAGGATTATATGTTCAAGGAGACAATAAAGAAAAGGTTGTCCCGGTCCCTAAGCCAGCAGAATGGGCCCATTCAGGAGCCATGTGGAGATTTTTATAAACGTATGTATCTGTGTTTAATGCATTTCCTTCCACATAAAACAACTGCAAAGCTGATTTTTGAAGCATTTTAAATCCTGCATTGTTTGTTTTCAACCATGTTCACAAGCTTGTATTCTTCTTCTTCCTGACATTTCTGGTCTCATGTGCATTTAAGTTAAGTTTGAACTATTAACTTGCAAATAAAAGCTGACTTTTTTTCTCCTAGAAGAGCCAACTGACTTCACTTGAAACCTGGTCCAAATTTGAAAAAGAAGCTTGCAAACGTATGAGGAAGACAAGACGCGGTACAGAAACCTTTAAACAGCAGAACAGTTTGAGACAGTTTTCCTTTGGGTTGGAGAGTTTGCCGAAGCAGTAAAAACTTGCTGTTTATATTCTTTTCAGTGCTGGCGATATTGCCCTGCTGTGCTGGCCTCTTTCATAATGAGGATGCTGTCGTGCATGTTATTTCACAGAAAATGCAATTTTGAGTAACTGTGCCCTGGGCCTTCACCCAAACCACCCTTGTGGAGCCCTGCAAGCCGAGCCAGGCGACTGAGGAAATCTCCAAGCAAACCAGAAGTGACAGGCTGTGGAGCCAGCTAATATTCTCTGACACATGGCATTGGGACCCCCTCACCTCCACTCAACATATCCAGCACACAGCAAATGGAGGAGAACATAGAGCAAAGACCACCAATAAAGAGGCTCATAGTGCGGCCATGATTAGGCACTGCAACGATATCAGGGAGCAAGATTACTCCGGAAATGAGTTGGGGAATGTTGCAAATGAGGATATCAACAAGAGGGTACTTAGGTGCCCATTTAGTTTATAGAGCTTCCTCTGAGTGCACTTTTCCATTCAGCCGGCTCTGGCTGTTTAAGAATTGAAAAGTAGTCGAGATAAACCAGTGACATTTTCAGCATGGCATTCAGTTCAATGACAAATATAAAAAAAAAAAAAGCTTTTCATCTTTTGCACTGATGTGAGGAAAAAAAGATACAAGCACATTGTTGTAAAGGTCACAGGGACTTACAAGCATAGATAACCAAATTAATTACGCCAAGCCAGGTCCTCAGGAAAATTGCCAAGATGCCTGATGAGAGCGGTGCTGTGTGCATCCAAATCCCCCTGGTCACTGTTGCTTATCGCCACAGAGAGACAAGGCGCTGCAGTGGCTCATAATGAGGCAGGTATACACGTCAATCACATGCGGAGAGTCAAAGCCTGTGACGCACAGAATCTGCAAATCTAATGAACCGTTTTCTTAAAATAACACTGCGTTGCATTTTGGAGAATGTCGCTAAAGGTAAATATTAACAATGAATGGTGTGTCGTCAGCAAATTTGTTTATGAATAGAAAGTAAATGTTAGATATTTCTGTCAGAGATAGAAGGTTAAAATTCATTACATAAAAAACAAGGTGGACTATGTGTACCTTTGGTCCTTCACAATTGAGGTTTAGTTCCAGTGAATGGAAATCCCCATCCAACACCTTTGAAATGAATGGTGATGTCGACTGTTAGCCAGACCATACCACCTTACGAATGCTCTTGTCTGTCTGAATTGGAGCAAATCCCTAAAGCCAGGTTTCAAGTCTTCTAATGGGAGAGGAGCCAAACAAAGCAACCAAAGGAGCCACCTGGTAGCTCACTTGGTAGAAC